CACTTTCTTTTTTTTAATGGAGGTAGAATTGACATATAACATTATATTAGTTTCAGGTGCACAATATAATGATTCAGTGTGGTATGTACACTGCAAGATGGTCAGCACAGTAAGTCTAGTTGTCATCCTCAATTTCTTCTTAGATTGTCACCTGCTCACTAAACACTCCCCTGACCTCCCTATTTTTAAACTGCAACCCTCAGCACTCCCTACCCTCTGCCGTGCTTTGGGATCTTCCATGGACCCACCACCTCCTCATCGACTATGTGGTTCCTTGTTTGTTTCATTTTCACCCGAGTCCTCCACTCCAATATAAGCAACAGGGAGGCAGGGATTTTGGGGTCTTCCACTCATCATTCTATCCAAGCACCTAGCCCAGTGCCTGGCACACAGTGAGCACTTAATAAATATTTGTCCAATGCATGTCTACCTGACATATTGACTACCTAACAACTTCTTACTATGTACCAGGCACTGTGCTCACTGCCTTCCTGGATTCTATAATTTCATCCTTTAGCAACACTGTCAAGTGGACATTATCATTATTTTATAGATTAGGAAATGAAAATGTAGGCTAAGTCACATGTCCAAGGTCATGTGATTAGAAAGTGGTGGTGGTGGGGTGTGAACCCTTCCAGCCTGCCTCCAGAGCGCACATGCTTAACCTCTTTGCTGCAGTGCATTTAAGCCTCAATCTGGAGTCTCTGCCTCCAGGAGGCCTTCCTAACCCCCCCACAACAGGCTGGATCAGATGACTGCCCCACACCACTGGTGCTCACCCAGCACCGGGCACCATCTCAGTCACAGCACTTTCCTGCTATGACAGGAGTCAGTTTCTATGTCGGCCTCTCCCCTTAGGCTGTGAGTTCTGCTATGATGGTGCCTTATTCATGTTTATTTTCCCAGCCTGGCACATAGCAGGTGCCCAGTGAACACGGGGTAGGATCTTGGAGCTGCTCGTGTCTTCCAGGCACCATGGATTGATAGTGGCTGCTGGGTGCTGTGCAAGAGCTCCAGGACCATCAGCCACATCTGTGTTGCACAGGGGTGGGGAGCGGGGTCATGTGGGTATTTGTCTGTCTTCATCGAAGCACAGAGTAGACACTCAGTAACTTCTTGTTGACTTGAAGGACACAATTACTTCCTTAAGGAATTGAGTTGAACCCTTCAGGCCACACAGGAGGGTTGTTTTGGTTTTTTTTGTTAATGCCTCAAGGAGAGGCATTTGGAAGGGCAGCATGTTGGCAAAGCTCATGGAAAAGACTGCCATGGTATCTCACCCTTTCTGGTTTAACTGAACAGAAATCCATTCTATCTTGGTTGACACAATTCTGTGTCCTTGTTAAAATTATATTAAAAGAAAAAGCAGGTCCGGCCCTGTGGCCTAGTGGTTAAGTTCAGCACGCTCTGCTTCAGCAGCCTGGGTTCAGTTCTCGGGCGCAGACCTACACCACTCGTCGGTGGCCATGCTGTGGTGGCGACCCACATACAAAATAGAGAAAGATTGGCACAGATGTTAGCTCAGGGTGAATCTTCCTCAGCAAAAAAAAAAAAAAAAAGAAAGAAAAGAAGAAGCTTTTGCCTACAGTGACTGAGGATGCTAGAGCACCTATGGGGTCAGTTCAGCAATGCTGCCGCCATGTGGGTACAGACAGCTAGATAAGAACTTGGGTTAAGTCAAGGACATTCCCTGGATATTGGTGCTTTTGTTCCCTCTCAGACACACATGTAACTTCTTGTAATTTGGCTTTTTATGTTAAAAGCAGAGCACCTACATTTAGGAATGGGATGCATAGATAAGATTCCAATTAACTGAGGGTTCTAACTGAATCAATTGTAGTTGATTGATTTAGCAAATAATGGAGCCTTAAGACAACTTTGCGAACGTGCCCCATGTTTACTCATTCTGTAAACCAGAAACAGTCACACCTCATTGTAACTGACCTTGGGCTCAGTCCAAATACTGTAGCGGTTCTGCTGCTTTGCTAGTTGACAATTGTTCTAATAAGGGAACCTCTTTTAATTCCCAGGGCTTTCGAATCTTTTGTTCTATTGAGATTTTTGCAGGGCTGCTATTTGTAGCAAGGTTTGGCTGAAAGATAAGAACATGGATGTGTGTAGCTGGGAGAAGTGCTTTGTGGCCAGGAGAAAAGATTGTTTTGAGCCTCTGCACCTGCCTGCCTCCCTCAGCTGTGATGCAAAACACGATCCTTTCAAACAAAGGAGTGTAGGAAGTGACTGTCCCTTAGCCTTACCAATCAATTCAAACCAGCTTCAAGAAAACAGATTCAAATTAGTGACCCAAACCCCACCCAGAGCCAATTCTTTCTGAACAATAGCTGTAACCAACTGAACATTAGATGCTCAATTCTATTTTGAGTAGCATGAGAGCTTACTGCTAAAGTCAGGTTAAATTAATTAATTTTATTCTGCCTCTTTATAAAAAAAAGGACAAGGGGTTTTATAATTTTAAATACAGTGAAAATGAAGAATTTTAAAAGAGAGACTAGAGGTTGGTTATGGCAAAGTAGGAAATATTCTATCAGGAAAGTGGATAAAATTGTTTGAGCATGAAATTTAACTTTGAGCTTCCTAGCACCCAAGGGAAAAATAGAAATGGTGGGCCATGTGAGTTTCATCATCATTATCTGAAGAACAAGAAGGAGGAGGGAAGCAGCAGCAGCAGCTGCCACATTTGGATTTGTCTGGAGGAGCAAACATTCACCTGGATTTACATTGTTGGAAAATTAGATTTTGTAGAAGCTCTTGTAAGGGACTTGAGATAACTTGCTCAGAGATGTCTTCAACTGTGGTTTTGCAGGAGCAAAAATGGTCTAAGTCTTACCATGAAATCATGAAAGCACAAGTCAGTGATGGTTCGTCCGAGGAGAGCTGTCAACTCATGATGAAGCTCCCACAGCAATGCCTGATGGCATGTCACATTTATTTTTAACTTTGGTTCGGGGATGTGAGGGGGTACCTTATAGTAAGTTGACTTCCAGAAAGATGGATTTTAGAGACACAGCCAATACAGGTATTACAAACAAGCAAGCTTGAGCAAACCGCCAGAAAACCCCCATGTCTTCTTTTTCCACTGGTTGCTCAATACTGTGTTTACCCCTATGTGATGCTGTCAAGGGAGAAAATGAAATAACCAGGAGAGTCTCGGATAAAAGAGACACAAAGAACAGGACTGGCTTCACAGACTGAGCAGTAACTTCAGCTGTTGGAAGTTCCCAGCGTGCACACTTTGGCATTTCCACCTAGAGTGTGGACTTCCTGAGACAGTGGAAGAAAGCCAGACCTGGCATCTGTTGTTAAGAGTGGTCCCTGCCCAAGGGCCAATATCCTGGCTCTGGGCTTTCCTTCCGGAACCAGAAGACAAACTGGCCCAGTTCCAAAGTTTGACTTTGTAGACAAAGGCAGCTTTTCTGATACACAGTTGCAGGAGACTCAGTTAGCTTGTTTTCTTGCCTGCTGTCATCTGGTTCTTTTGGAGCCATCTGTAGACATTTGCATGGCAAGTGCAACTGTTGAGCACCAGAGTGACCCCTATCAGTCCGGCAGGCCATTCCCAGGGGGGGCTTCTGACTTCTCTGGATTGATAATCAACATGTCTCACAAGGGAGTAGGTGCAGAATTAAGTGCAGGCTTGGCATCTCTTGGTTCCAGTCCTCTTAATGAGAAAGTTTCCACTCAGGAAGAGCTCAGTAATGGATTCTTTTTGGCTGTGCGCCCTTTAGAAGGCACAGGTTCCTTCCAGGGAGCCCAGTGAATGGCCGAGAGGATGAGTAACAGTCTTTTCTCTAGGATGGTGAGCCGTTTTATGGCCAACAGAGGGCATGAGTTGGCATTGGGAGGCAGGGGGCTGGGGCTGTCCCCTTACTGGAGGGACATTAAGCCAATGTCAAGTCAAAGGACAGGAAGAGAGCTACCCAACTTCCCCAGTTTATTAAACTGGTGCATTCTGAGGGACCCAGTTCAGTTCTGAGCGTGGCAGCTGTGGGGTTTTCCTTGTCTGGGTGAGACAAATGATTCAGCTCTTTGGCTAATTTCCTTTCTCAGTTCTCGGCTCTAAGTCTTGACTTTGCTCTTCTGACTTCTCAGAAATGGGCATCACTTAGTTGAGCTACTTATAAGGGAGTCATACATCCACGCAGAAATTCTCTAGTCTCCCCCAGAGGTCCAGGAAGTAACATTAGTAAAAATATTAATAACAACCATCCCTTATATAGCACTTACCATGTACCAGCTTCTGCTCTAAGTACTTCCCATACATTTACTCATTTGATGCTCATAAGAGCCCAGTGAGGTAGGTGGTGGTGTTTACAAATGAGGAACTTTGGGAACAGAGAGGTTTACTAACTTGCCCAAGATCACACAGTGGTGGGAAGATGTCTGCTGAACACAGGATACTAAGAAAGTGCCATCAGAAAGGGTGGTTTGAGGTGACATCTGGGTGGTTGGTAGCCAGCCTGGTGAGGCCCTGATGCTCTTGACTCCTCTTTGGGTCCAGGAGCCCTTTAAGAATACGTTGAAAGCCGATACCCTCTCTCCAGAAAAATGTACAGATGCATTATCACAGAAAAAAATCCCCACATAATTGCTTTACTTGAGGAATTGCAACTCATTGACTGTTTAATACGGAACAGCATGATTTTTCTGATATTTGCAGCCAGTGGGACTCATCAACCCTCTTTTCTGGAGGTAAGCTTCTGTTGATGAGCAAACTGAAGGGCTTCTCAGTCTGTCCCCATAACATCTTAGTCACTTGTGTTTATTAAGGCAGTCTTGTTTTGTACACTTTAAATATATACAATTTTATTTGTCAATTATACCTCAATAAAGCTGGGGAAAAAATAACAGTCTCATTTAAGTTATTAAGTCTTAGTATTAACAGTGTATGTAATATAAGTTCTGACCATTAAGAATGTCGATCTTGTATTCAGTTCCAAACTTGCCCCCTCCTCCCGGGCCACCAGGAGGCTCCTTTCCTTCTGAGGTGTGTGTGTCTGGTGTGTGTGAGGTGCATCTGCTCTCACTCAATCCCTCCGTCCTCCTTGGTTACTGCCTCACTGCTCTCTGGGTCAGTTCAGGTCAGAGGAGACACCTGTTAAGGGCTGTGCCGCAAGGGACCCAATGTCAATGTCAATGTCAAGTGGCATATTGAGTGGTGGGGCACTGCCTGTAGAGAACTTAAAAGCAACCATAAAACTGACAAAAGTCAGTCTGCGTTTATCATCAATATGCACAGATGATGCTAAACAACGTCAGTGATAAATACTTCTTCCCGCCCAAGCAGACCACGTCCCCTTAGTATGCCATGATGTCAAGCGACTTTGCCAGGCCTTGACAGTCCCTCGAGACCTGGTATCTTCAGGCCGACTCTAAGCCAGAAGCACCTGCTGCTCATGCCTCTGTGCCCAGTGCCGCTTGCCTCCTCATCTCCAGCAAACCTGTAGCCTCCCTGCTCCGCTCACTCTCCATGGCCCCAGCTCTCGTGCCTGCAAGCCCTGGTTGCTGGTAGGAACCTGGGATTGAAGGGAGTGATCCTCGCCCTTTCTTCCCCATACCGCTCCAGGAGCCTCAGGGTAGCTTGGTGGCTCTCCAGACATCCAGATAGGCCATGAGGTGTCAGTCCCCCGTCATGCAGATACTCACAGATTTTTATTGTCCCTTGACCTTATTCAAACTAGTCAAAAGTTCAACTCTTCTGCCTCCACCCCCAGCTTTATTTATAATAACCCAAAGCAGGAAACAACCCAGGTGTCCTTCAATGGGTGAATGACTGAACAAACTGTGATACATCCATACTATGGAATTCTACTCACTAATAAAAGGCAGTAAACTATTGATACACCCAACAACTTGAATGAATCTCCCGAGAATAATGTTGGGTGAAAAAAGCCAATCTTTAAGGGTTAAATATAATATAGTTTTATTTATATAGCATCTTGTGTTGGCAAAATTATAGAGGTGGAGAATAGATTAGTGGTTTCCAGGAATTGAGGACAAGGGAGTGAGGATGGGAGGAAAGTGGATGTGGCTATAAAAGGGCAACATGAGGGATCATTGTGGTGATGTAAATATTTTATATGACATTGACTGTATCAATGTCAATAGCCTGGTTGTGATAGTGTACCATAGTTTTGCAAGATGTTACCACAGGGCGAAACTGGTAAAAGGTACATGGGATCTTTCTGTATTGTTTCTTAAAACTGCCATGTGAATCTACAATGATCTCAAAATTAAAAGTTCAATTAAAAAATTTAAATGATATATGGTTTCCTGTACCTCCTAATCTGACCAATGAAATGTCCTTAAAAGTAGATGTCCTCAGAGCAGATTATTTTATTAAATACAATATTCTTGGGAACAATAAAGCTCTTTCTTGTTTACTTCAGTAGTAACATCATCTATGGAGCAAAATTCATTTTCTTATTGCTTTAGAATTATATAGATTTAAACAATTTTAAAATGATGCGCTGGACTTTTGCTTCCAGACAAGATGGAGTAGACACAATTCCCCTTATTCCTCCCATTTTAAATACACTTAAATATCCTGGACATTATATATAAAACAAACATGATAAGACTCAGAGAGGTGGAGAGAAGAAGGCAGCCCAGCTAGGCACCCTGGGACACTAGGATTTTCTTGTTGTCTCATCTATCCCAGACTGAGTGCTGGAGAAGCCAGCAGCTTAGAAACACCAATGAGCACAGAAAAAAAAAAAGCCCCAAGAAAATCCTGCTCTATCTAGGAAAGGGACAACCTAGCAAGAGGGAAAACTTTTAGAGAATAACTGCTCTATTCCAGCCAACACCATGGAAAGAACTGCAGCCCCATCCCTACTCCTATCATTAAAGGTTGAATGGGTAGTCTAGAGTTCCACACTTGGTGGCTGTAATGAGGATCCCCTCGCTCTCCTCACTGAGGTAATGTCAGAGGAAGCCTAGTGGAGAGTCAGGACTTTCACTACCACCCAGTATGATGACACTTCCCCTCTATGATGTCAGTGGAGACCATGTGATGAGTGGTAACAAGGCATTCTTGTCTCTTCCTCCCAGAGTATCAAGGGAAGCCAAGTGGGGAAGCTGGATTTTTACCCTCACCTGAAAGTAATGAGGCAGTGTCCTCCTTTTCCTGCTTGGTGCAGTGTCAGAGGAAGCCTGGTAAAACAGAAGATTTAAATAAAATTCATAATTTCATAACATAATATCCAAAATGTCCAGAATTCAACTGGAACTCACTCATACCATGAACTAGGAACATCTCAACTTGAATGAGAAAAGACAGTTAAGAGACACCAATATTGAGATGACACAGATGTTAGAATTATCTGGCAAGGATTTTAAAGCAGCCATCATGAAAATGCTTCAATAAGCAATGACAAACATTCTCGAAACAAATGAAAAATAGAAAAATCTCAGCAAATAAATGAAAGACATAAAAAAGAATCAAACAGAAATTTTAGAACTGAAAAATGCAATAACCAAAATTTAAAACTCAGTTGATGGGCATGACAGAAGAATGGAAGGAACAGAAGAACGAACAGCAAACTGAAAAATAGAAGAGAAATTCCCAAATCTGAGCAATAGAGAGAAATAGACTGAAAAAAATATATAATAGAGCCATAGGGACCAAACAGACTATAATAAAAGATATAACAGGATAATCCTAAAGAAATCCACACCAAGACACATTATAATCAAACTTCTAAGAACTAAAGACAAAGAAAAAAATCTTGAAAATAGCAAGAGAGAAATGACACCTTACCTATAAGAGGAAAACAATTCGAATGACAGTATATTTCTCAGTGGAAACCATGGAGGCCAGAAGGAAGTGGTATAACAGTTTTCAAGTGCTGAAAGAAAAGAACTGTCAACCCAGAATTCTCTGTTGAGTGATGTAGAAAATATACTTCGGGATTGAAGGATAAGTCAATACATTTGCAGATGAAGGAAAACTAAGAGAATTTGTCTACCCTAAAAAATGGCTAAAGGAAGATCTAGAAACAGAAAGGAAATGGTAAAAGAAGGAATCTTGGAACATGAGAAAGGAAGAAAGAACAAGGAAAGGAGTAAAACTGTGAGTAAATACAATAGAATTTCCCTCTCCTTTTAAGTATTCTAAATTGTTTGATGGCTGAATAAACAATCATAACACTCTTTGATGTGGTTCTCAGTGTATGTAGAGGACATATTTAAGACAATTATATTATAATAATTTTATTTATTTTTTATTTTTTCCCCCAAAGCCCAGTAGATAGTTGTATGTCATAGCTGCACATCCTTCTAGTTGCTGTATGTGGGACACGGCCTCAGCATGGCCAGAGAAGCAGTGCGTCGGTGTGCGCCCGGGATCTGAACCCGGGCCGCCAGCACCGGAGCGCACGCACTTAACCTCTAAGCCACGGGGCCGGCCCAAGACAATTATGTTATAAATGGGAGAGGCTAAAAGACACCGAGAAGAACACAACATCTCATCTATGTTATTCTTGCCCAAAATGCATGACCTCAATCTAATCATGAGACAGCATCAGACAAATCAAAATTGAGAAACATTCTACAAAATAACTGACTAGTACTCTTCAGTCGTCAAGGCCAAGTGTCAAGGTCAGAAGTGTCAAGGTCGTGAAAGACAGAGGAACTGTCTCAGACTGGAAGAGTCTAAAGAGATATCACAACCAAAAGCAATGTGTGATCCTAAATTGGATTTCTAAAATTTCTGCTCCTTTTAAAAAATGCTATTGAAAAAGATAATAACAGTAAAGTGCATAAAGTAGTCTAATTTTAAGCTTACAACCTGATAATTTTTTACATATGGGCACAACTATGTAACCACCACTCAGATCAAGACATAGAACATTTCCATAAGAAAAGATAGAACATGCCCACAAGATTCCTTTGTGCCCTTTCCCTGTCTATCCCCTCCCCCAGAGATAACCACTATTCTGACTTCTATCACCACCAGTTAGTTTTGCCTGTTCTTGAACTTCATATAAATGGAATCACATAGTAGGTACTCTTTTGTGTCTGGCTTCTTTCATTCGACATAATATCTGTGAGATGCATTTATGTCATTTTGTAAACCTGAGTTTGTTCTTTTTATGCTGTGTAGTATTTCATTGTATGACTACATCAAAATTAATTTATATAGTTTCCTGTTGATGGGCATTTGGCTTGTTTCCAGTGTTTGACTACTGTGAATAAGGCTCCTATAAACCTTTTTGTATGTGTATTTTTGTTCACACATGAACTCATTTATTTGGGTTGATATATAGGAATGAAATCGCCAGATCATATTTTTAGCTTTATAGATACTGCCAGGCAGTTTCTCAAAGTTGTACCAATTTACATTCCCACCAGCAATGTATGAGAGTTTGTAGCATGTCCTTGCTAACACTTGGTATTCTCAGCCTTTTTTGTTTTAGCTATTCCGGTGTGTATGACTCTCCTTTTATTTTATTTTCATGCCGTTTATTTGTTGAAGAAGCTGAGTCAATTCTCCTGTGGCCTTCCCCGCAGTCTGGATTTGGCTGATTGCATCCTTGTGGTAGCATTCAGTATGTTTCCTTTATCCTCACTATTTCCCTTACTAATATGTAATTAGCACTAGAGACTTGATTATGTGAAAGTGTTTTTCTCAAGAATACTTCATAGATTGTTCTTCCTATTATCTATTGCATCAAATCGGAAAGAATATAATGTCTATTGTCTCACTTTAATTGATGTTAAGAGAGATCACTGGACTCAGGTGACATCAGCATGCTTCGTCTTGAGCGAGTTTCTCATCAACCTTCCACTTGATTTTAGTGGAGACTGGTGATTATTACTTAGATCCATGATTTCACTGGAGTTGCAAAATGATGGTTTTCTAATTACAACCTTCCTTTTGCATTTATTATCTCTGATTACTTATAAAGTACTCTTCCTTAGCAATTATTTGGTTGCTCTGTATACACTTCCTACTAGAAAAGCAAGATAATTGCTTGATAATCTTTATCAATTATCAGAATAATGAGTTGTTGCTGCAACCTTCAAGGTAACTATTGCATTTTTTTTGGAGTATCATTATGAACTTAAGGATTTATAAATATTGAAAGTGTTTCAATTCATGGCAATCGTTCTTTTTGATGCTCAAAATGTCCCGATTTGGCCAGTGAGAGCACCTTCAAGTTAGCTCTAAGTGTATGGATGTTTTTAAGGCTTTTGATACGTACTACCAAATTGCTCTCCAGGAGAGCTGTATGACTTTACACACCCACAAGTGGTGTATGAGAATGTCGGTTTTCTGCTACTGTCACCTATTAATGGGTTCTGTAATGTATTTTAAAGAAATATCTGCCAGAGCTGGCCTGGTGGTGCAAGCGGTTAAGTGCACGCGCTCCGCTGCAGCGGCCTGGGGTTCGCCAGTTCAGATCCCGGGCACACACAGACGCACTGCTTGGAAAGCCATGCTGTGGCGGCGTCCCATATAAAGTGGAGGAAGATGGGCACAGATGTTAGCCCAGGGCCAGTCTTCCTCTGCAAAAAAAGAGGAGGATTGGCAGATGTTAGCACAGGGCTGATCCTCCTCACACACACACACAAAAAATCTGCCAATTTGATATACTAAAAATAGTATCACATTAAACATTTTTATTGTGATAAAACATACATAACATAAAAATTTACCATTTTAACTATCTTTAAGTGTGCAATTCAGTGGCATTAAGTACATTCATATTGTTGTGTAACCATCACCACCATCCATATCCAGAGCTTTTTCATCTTCCCAAATTGAAACTCCTGGTAATTACTATTTTACTTTATATCTCTATGAATTTTTAATTTTATTTTTTAAATTATGGTAAAATATGCATACAAAAATTTATCATTTTGACCATTATTAAGTGTACAGTTTAATTCTCAGGATGAACGGAGAAGCGGTGCCTCGATGCGCACCCGGGATCCGAACCCGGGCCACCAGCATCGCAGCGCGCGCACTTAACCACCAAGCCACAGGGCCGGCCCTCTTTGTGGTTTTGATTTGCATTTCCCTCATGATTAGTGATAGTGAGCAGCATCTTTTCATGTGCTTTCTCGGAGAAATGTATATTCAAGTCCTTTGCCCACTTTTAAATTAGGTTGTGTGTTTTCTTGTTGTTGTTGGGGTTTTATTTATTTATATATTTATATGTTCTGGATATTAATCCCTTATCATTGGTGGCCAGGAAAGATTAAGAGGTGCAGGTAACCATATAACATATATATAAATTACATATTTATATATATATAAATATATATATGTTATATATTCCATAAATATCAGGTATAGGATTTGCAAATATTTTCTCCCATTAGGTGGGATGCCTTTCACTCTCTTGATAGTGTCTTTTGATGCATGAAAATTTTTAATTTTTTTTTTTGTGTGTGAGGGAGATCAGCCCTGAGCTAACATCTGTGCTAATCTTCCTCTTTTTGCTGAGGAAGACCGGCCCTGAGCTAACATCTATTGCCAGTCCTCCTCTTTTTCTTCTTCCCCAAAGCCCCAGTAGACAGTTGTATGTCATAGTTGCACATCCTTCTAGTTGCTGTATGTGGGACGCGGCCTCAGCATGACCGGAGAAGCGGTGTGTGGGTGCGCGCCAGGGATCTGAATTGGGGCCGCCAGTAGCGGAGCGCGCGCACTTAACCACTAAGCCACGGGGCCAGCCCGAAAGTTTTTAATTTTGATGAATTCCAATTTATCTATTTTTTCTTTTATTGTTTTTGCTTTTCCTGTCATATCCAAGAAATTATTGCCAAACGCAATGTCATGCAGATTCCCCCTATGATGTTTTCTTCTGAGAATTTTGTAGTTTTAGCTCTTACATTTAGGTTTTTGATCCATTTTTATTTAAGTTTTAAATATGCTGTAAGGTAAGGGCCCAACTTCATTCTTTTGCATAGCGATGTCCAGTTTTACCAACACCATTTATTGAAGAGAAATGGTTCTTTCCGCACTGAATGGTCTTGGCACCCTTGCAGAAAATCATTTGACTATATATGCCTCCCTGGGCTGTCTTGAACCTTCATATCCCCAGGTCCCTTTTAAACACAATAGACTTTTAAATATTGTAGATAGCCATCATGGCCCCCATAAAGATCCTTAGCTACATCAACCATCCTTTGATAAATACTTCCACTTCACCCACAGTGCCTGGGAGGTGCTTAGTAGGTTGAATTGATAAATTCATAGATAAATAAATATAACGTGGTATAAAACTTCCTTATGACCTTGGTCATCCTTCTTGGACCTGCCCAGCTGTCCCAATGTCCTTAAAAATGTGGTTTCTTGAACTGGACACAAGTCTTCATATGAGGATGAGCCATCTGCAAGCCAAAAGTTGTCACCTCCTATTTGCAGGACACTCTGCTTCTCTTCTGAGAGTGGTGTTAGTTTTTTTTGGCAGATCTGTCTGTCTCACTGTTGACTCATTATGGGCTTATGATCAGCAACAACACCCAATGATGTGTTAAAAAAATTTATTGCCATTTCTCCCACTTGATTATAAAAGAGAGAGACTTTGAAAAAATGTAGAAAGGTAAAAAGAAAAGAAACCAATCATTAACATGTTTAGTGCTCAGTCAAACTTCTTGTCTATGTGTGTGTGTGTTTTACTTTTTTTAAACAAAATTCTGAACATATATTTTATGCCATTACATGCTCTTCAAAATCTCACTAGGGGCATATGTATGGTGACGGATAAAAACTGGACTGTTGCTGGTGAACGTGATGCAGTCTATACAGAAACTGAAATGTAGTGATGTACACCTGAAATTTACACAATGTTGTAAGCCAATACAATCCCAATAAAATAAAATAAAATAAAATAAAATAAATAACCTCAATACATATGAGGCCGTATAAGATCATAACAGCTAAATAAAATTCTGTCATTTAGTGTATATTTAAACTTAATATTCTATTTTATAATTTATTAAGCCATTTTGCTATTGTTGGACATTTCAGTTATTTTCACCATCTGTTATAAATAATGCCACGATGACCATCTTGGTACATATCTCTTTTTAATCTGTCTAAATCTAAGTTGGACTTCACAATTTATCCACCAGATTTTACTGTCTCCCAACATTCAACTTGGTTTTTGTTGGTTTTACTTGATTCTTTCATCCTTGTCAAAATCTCTATGAACCTCAATTTTCTCCTCTAATATATTATACAGTCCTCTCAGGTTGGAGTCAATATAAGCAGATGTTATATTTTATTGAAGAGGGAAAGCCCATACACAGAGCTGTGTAGCTTCCCATTAGAGAGAACATTCTCTCTGTTGATAGTAACCACTTAAGGGGAAGGGAAGTTACATTTTATTACAATTACATTCTTAACACTTTAGAAACTGACACTAAGAGACATTATATCACAAACTCAAGTCTGACGGAGCCAAAGCCTGCTTTAGTCAGATGCCACATTTAGCTTTATAGTTAGTCTTAGTAAGTCTTGATATCTGGTAATATTAGTCTCCAACTTTTTTTTTCCTTCTTCATGATTGTCTTGGCCAGAGGTCAGCAAACTATGGCCCACAGGGGCAAATTTGGCCCACTACCCGCTTTTGTAAATAAAGTTTTATTGGAACACAGTCATGCCCATTGTCTATGGTTGCTTTTGTGTTACAAATGCAGATTTGAGTAGTTGTGACAAAGACTGAATGGCCTATAAGTCTAAAATATTTACTATCTGGGCCTTTACAGAAAGGTTCCCAACTCCTAGTGCTAGCTAATCTAGGTCCTTTGTATAACTGTATTTTTAAAATCCTGCTGGGGTTTTAATTGAGATTGCACTGAATATTTAGATCAATGCCATCTTGCAATATTGTCTTCCAGTGCATGAATATTGTGTCTCTCTCCAGTTATTTGTGTCTTCTTTAAGTTCTCTCATCAATGTTTTGTGGTTTTAGGGTAGCTCTTCTACATCTTTTAATAGATTTATTCCTAGTTGCCTGATTTTTTGGATTATAAATGGCACTTTTAAACTTTTTATTTTACAATAATTTCAGACCTAAAGAAATGTTGCAAAATTAGTACAAAGAATTCTTTGTACTAAAGATTCCCTGAATGTTAACATTTTATGACATTTGCTTTATCATTCCCCCTCCTTTCTCACACACACACACACACACACAGATACACACACAGACACACATATAGACAGACACACATCATTGGTAAGTGGTATTTTTAAAATCTTATTTTTCAATGTTGCTAGTATATAGAAATAAAACCGATGTTTTATATTGACCTTGTAGCTAGTCACTTTGCTAAATTCACTTGTTATTTCCGGTAATGAATTCTTTGACTTTTCTACACATGTAATCATGCCATCTGCAAAATATGACAGCTTTATGGCTTCCTTTCCAATCCTCTTTTATTTATTTTTCTTGACTTATTGCACTGGCTAGGACCTCTGGTAAAGTGTTGAAATATAAGTGGTGATAATGGACATTTTTGTCTTATTCTCAAACTCAGAAGAAAACTGTTTAGTATTTTATCACTAAATTGGATGTTAGCTGTATTTTGTTGATATTATAATAAAGGGTATCAAAAAAATGCCAACAAAACCCAAATGCCCATCAAATAAATTTATATAGCAATGAAAAAGAATGAATTACTGCTACATTTAACAATACAGTGAATCTTATAGATATAACAACGAGCCAAGAAAGCCAGAAAATAAAGGGAAGGCAGAAACAGTATACTGAAGATCTATACAGAAGAGACAAGGATGACAGAGTCCTTCAAGAAGATTCCTATGAGGAAGAACCTATAATTTTAGAAAGTGAAGTGAATGCTGCCCTGAAAGTATTGGGATGAAATAAGTCACCAGTGGTAGATGGGATATTGATAGAATTATTTCAAGCCACAGAGACTGAATCTAGCAAAATCCTAACAAGAATATGCCAACAAATATGGAAAACAAAACAATGGCCTACAGATTGGAAATGTTCCATATACATCTCAATCTCCAAGAAAAGAGATGCCAAGGAGTGTAGTAACTTTAGGACTACTGCTCTAATTTCCCATGCAAGTAAAGTGATGTTCAATGTGCTGCAACAAAGGCTTTTACCTTAAAGGCTTTTACCTTATACGGAGCAAGAAATGCCTGATGTCCAAGATGGATTTCGAAAAGGGAGTGGTCCAGAGAATTTCAGAAGAAGGTTAGTCTATGTTTTACAGATGACATGCCTTGACTGCATGGATCATGATAAGCTATGGGCTGCTCTGAAAGAAATGGGAAAGCCTCAGCACTTGATCGTCCTGATGCATAACCTGTATTGTGGACAAGAAGCCACTGTCAGGACAGAATATGGAGAGACAGAATGGTTTCCTACAGACAAAGGTGTCAGACAAGGGGTGCATTTTATCTCCCTACCTGTGTAGTTTTTACGCAAAACATATCATATGAAAAACTGGGCTAGACTCAGATGAAGGAGGAGTGAAAATTGGTGGAAGAAATATCAACAATCTGAGTTATGCAGATGATACCATCTTACTGGCAGAAAGCAGTAATGACTTGCAATGACTTCTGAGAAAAGACCAAGAAAGTGCCAACGCAGAACTGCGTTTGAACATCAAGAAGACAAAAATCATGACTACAGAAGAACTACACAACTTTAATGTAGACAATTAAGACATTGAAATTGTTAAAGATTTTGTCTACCTTGATTCAGTCATCAATTTAAATGGAGACCACAGCCAGGAAATCAAGAGAAGACTGAGACTCGGAAGGGCAGCAATGAAAGGATTAGGAAAGATCATCAAGGGTAAGGAAGTGTCACTAGAGACTAAGGCCAAGACTATCCACATCTTTGTATTCCTAATTCCTATCTACGGGTGTGAAAGCTAGACAGTGAAGAAAGCTGACAGAAAAAAAAAAGGATTCATTTGAAATATGGTGTTGGAGGAGAGCTCTACAGATACCCTGGACTGCCAGGAAGACCAATGAGTGGGTCCCAGAGCAAATTAAGCCTAAACTATCTCTGGAGGCAAAAATGATAAAACTGAGGCTGTCCTACTTTGGGCACATCAAGAGAAGGCAGGATTCTTTGGAAAAGACAGTAACGTTGGGAAAAGTAGAAGGCAGCAGGAAAAGAGGAAGACCAAATATAAGATGGATTGACTCCATAGAGGAAGCCATAGGCATGAGTCTACAGGAGCTGAGTAGGGCCGTTGAGGACAGGACGCTGTGGACACCACTCATTCACGGGGTCACCAGGAGTCAGAGCCGACTTGACAGTACATAACAACAAGAAAGCCAGAAACAGAAGGGTTCATTCTGTATCATTCCACTTACATGAAGTTCAAGAACAGGCAAAACTAATCAGAACAATGGTTTCTGAAGCAGATGATTGACAAGAAAGGGACATGAAAAAGGCTTCTGGAGAGCTGGAAGTATTATATCTTGATGTGAGTGGTGCGCACATAGATATATATATATGTGGAAATTCATTGGGCAGTATACATACAACTAATGCACTTTAATAAAAAGTTTAAAGTTCTACTTAAATAGAAAATTCAAGATTCTATGTGTTTTAAACGGAACTATGTGGTGTTTCCATCAGCAGCTGTTATCAGCTGGCCCACACTCCTCCAGCTCATTTATGAAGCTCTTGTGAGAGGTTTTGTCAAACGTCCTTTCTGAGATCAGTCACACGACATCTATGATAGTGCTTCTCAAACTTTTTGTTCTCTTTTTGCCCAGGCCTCATACAACGATTATTTATTCCAGTTTTTAAAATATCTCTACCAGCCAAGGAGATTTGGTGGAAACTCCCTCTGGAAATTCTGATCGCTGCCAGGGATCCTGCCTACACAGCTTGAGAATCATCGATCCTCTGCTGCGATAATCCTTTTGAAAAGGGAAAAAAGACGATCTTTGAATGACTTGTTCTTGGTGAATTGGCATTGATCCCTAGAGATCAAGGCGCTCTTAGATCATCTATTCAATAGTCACCCTAGAATTTTTCCAGGGTTGGGCATTAAGCTCCCTGGTAGTGAGAATTACCACCTGCTCTAATGATATCACAGACTCTGGTAAAACCCCACCTGGGCTTTACATACTTTGGTAAATTCCTTTTTTGCTTCAAAAAATTCCTTTTTTGCTTAAAATGGCATGAGCCAGTTTAAGTTTGGCTATCCGTTATTTGCAGCTGAAAACCTTCTAACTGGTTAAGAAAGGAAACTAACCCTAAGAAATTATCACATGGCAAACACTTTCCAGCCACTGAAATTTAAATCGTAAAATGGCCGAATAAAGTAGATGTTACTCTGCCAACTTATAGTTGAGGAAACTGAGGCTCTGAGGGAGCAAATGACCTGCCCTAGCAGGGGAGTCGGGATTTGAATTCAGATGCCAGTCCTACCTCAATGCTCATGTTCTTTCCACAACTCATTACCTCCCTCTTAGCCGCTGTGCCTAAATATGTTCTACACTTTCTGATCGTGAGACATTCTCTTTGATGGAGACTGACATGAAAACAGATGTTGAATAATTCTGCTTTCTTCTTCTCATGCCTGTCCCGTAAGTAGCATAGTGTCTCCAGAGCTACTTTTCATGGAACCCTAATGTTTCTCAAGGTGTTAATAGGTATGCCATGAAAACAAAACAAAGCAAAACAAAATTTGTTTAATGGTCAAATGATTTGGGGAATGCTACTCCATCTTAGTGTCACAGATGTATTAGCACTTTAAAGGCTCTGATAAATCCTGCAGTAAGTAACCTGCTTAATTTCACTTAACCCAGCATTTGCCAAACTTATCAGTACAAAACCCTGTTTTGGAGGAATGCTTACTAAAATTTCGGTGAGACATTAAGTGTTCATTGGAACAGAGTTTGGGAAAGGCTGATGTAATGGACAAAATCCTAGCATGGTATAAGAGACTCCATTGTCTAACCCTTATGAAGTCTGTTTATCTAAACTTTGGTGTATCAAAGAAAAATAGGCCAATAATCTCTTCCTGCCTTACAGAGTACTATTAGAATTCAAATAAGATACAAGAGTCATAATAGCTAACATCCGCTGGGTGTTTGTTCTGAGCCAGGCATTGCTTCAACACCATATACATTAATTCACTTAATTCTCACTATACCCTATGTGGTAGATTCTGTCATTGTACATGGGAGAAATGATGCTCCTGAGGGTCTCACAGTATCTAAGTGGAAAAGCCAGGATTTGATCCCAAATAGCCTGGCCTAGAGCTGTAACCACTGCTACGCCCTGCCTCTGCGCTCTTCCGCTCCAATGGTGACCAGGAGGCCCTTTGACAACCCGCAGTGTATTTTCCAAGCTTCTGCCCCTTCTGCACTTCAGCCTTCTTGCTTCTGCTGTGGAGTTCTCTGAACTCCTACACTGTGCTGGAGGAGCTGCTGGAAATTCCGCATTGGCACACCACGGTGTTTCCACCCAGGGTGCGGGCCCGACTTCAAGACAACACATTCTCACCACAGCCTGTGGATGAAGTGGATGTGGCGGGAGCCGCAGGCAGTGAAGAGACTTGGCTTGCTGCCTGTGGGCACCATGGTGTGGCCAGCAGGAACCCTCTAGGCCCTGTGCTTGCTTCTGGCTCTGGAACAGCTCTGAACTCTGAACAGGCTTTTCAAGAACCAATGCCTGCCTAATAATACTCTGTCCCCTCATTCTTTCCCTCCCTCTCTTCCTTTCTTCCTTCCTTCCTTCCTTAATTTTTTAATAGATAAATTTATGCAGGGCAAAAAAACCCCATCAAACAGTACCAAAGAGTATGGAGTAAAAATGAAGTCTCACTCCCCATTGTGATTCCCTCCCACGCTCAATTTCCCCTCCCAGAGGCAACCATTGCCAGTTTCCTGTATTTCTTCCTGAGATAGTTAATGTATAAAAGCATAGATAGATGTGTCACTCCGCCATCAGTTTTTCACAAGTCATATGACATCATTACATCTTGCTTTTTACACTTAAAAATCTACCTTGGAAGTTATTACCTATCAGTGCATGAAGACCTGTCTTGTTCTTTGTAACGGCTATAGAAGACTCCATCAGTTTCTTGAATGTAATCTACCTAATGCAGACTCTTCTGGCCACATCCTCTGGCGTATTCGGTCTTGCCCGTGATAGTTAGGTAGGGGTCCACACAGGTGTCTATGCACACACCTACACAGATACCTACCTGAACGTGGCGGGAGGCAGCTTAAACCTGGACCTTATGAAGGAAACCAGAGAGTCTGATGGGAATGACTGACCCCAAGTCACATTGGGGAGGAGATGGAAGGAGGAGATACACATTTTTCCTGTAGGGTTATCAAATCCGGATGTGACCAAATCTCTGTGGAAAGCCTCTTTTCTCATCCTGAGATAGGCAGGAAGCTAGATATGAGCTGGGAGGGAGGTCACTCCACCAGGTGCAGCATCCTAATTGCTG